GTTTTATTTTTGCCCAATCAATTCGACATATTAAATTTCATAAGGATCGGCCGACTATATCCTATAGCTGCCATATAACTGATTGATCGGAAATGCCATAACTCTGCTGTTTGTTAAGTTAGGAAGTTGGGACTCTCTATGCGTATTATATTTGGTTAATCAATCCGACATACCAAATTTCATAAGGATCGGCTGGCTATATCCTATAGCTGCTATATAACTGATTGATCGGAAATGCCATAACTTTGGTGTTTGTAAAGTTGGGAAGTTGGGATTTTCAATGGGTTTTATATTTGGCCAATTAATCCGACCTACCAAATTTCATAAGGATCGGCCGACTATATCCTATAGCTGCTATATAACTGATTGATCGGAAATGCCATAACTTTGGTGTTTGTAAAGTTGGGAAGTTGGGATTTTCTATGGGTTTTATATTTGGCCAATTAATCCGACCTACCAAATTTCATAAGGATCGGCCGACTATATTCTATAGCTGCCATATACATAACTGAACGATTGAAAATGCCATAACTTTGGTGTTTTTAAAGTTAGGAAGTTGGTATTTTTATGAGTATTAAGAATGCATCATATGAATAATTTTGGGGAATATAATTTGCAGAATATTCTGCAAGGGTATTTCAACTTCGGCTCCGCCCGAAGTTAGCTTTCCTTTCTTGTTTTATTATGGAAAAGTCCAATCGAGATAGCAGCTATTAATTAATTTAATTTAATACTTATTAAAGGGGTCTTGCATTCAGCTGTTCCCCTAAAGTTCATCGCAAAAGAATCGGTTTGAAAAAACCAAAATCGTTTAATGACCTTAAATAAATGAAAATGTATCTATTCCTTAACAGATTGCCTTGCGGCAGTAAAGTTATTTGTTAGCTTAACATTGAGAATGGAAGTAAAGTCAATTAAACAAATGAAATGGTTTTTAGTCCGGATAATCAGACAAAAATTAAAATACGATTTTGCTGAGTGGGCCGACTATGAAATTGCTTTCTTTAAACAAAAAGATTTGCAAAATTATGGACCCACGCAATCTTCCAACCAAGAATATATAAACAAAAATTACTGGCCATAAGCCCGATTCTTTCCTAAACCCTACTTTGGCAAGTGTATTTGTTATTTGCTCACGTTCTTAATAAATTGATTCAATTACAAATCGATTGCTTTGCGGATTTGCGCAAGATATCATATTCAATGAAGTGAATTAAAAAGTAAAGGGATTTGAGGTCATTTGAAATTTATTTATGTCTTTAGGACAATGCCACGCTATAATGTACATTCGAGCTATACATAAAAACTCTTGATGTAGCCCACAAAATGTGGCAACACAGCTGCAAAATTAAACAAAAGTAAAGGAAAGTTAAGGTAAACTTGGGTACGGACCATAGGAAAGTCGCATGTCCCCAAATCAATTAGGACTCATTCCAGGCCCATTGGTTTCCCAGACCCATCGTGTCATTAAATGCTGTCGGAACTTGCGAGCCCTTTCATCCATATTCATTAGGCCCCAAGACGCAACAAAGTTGCCCGGGACAAGCAACAGTTCTCCGGTTGAGTTGAGAAAGCGAATGGGAAACTATATTTATTAATTTTACAAGTGAACGCTTTGCTTTCCAATTCGATGTGGCTGCAGGACCGACCGCAATAAGCCTAGAATCCACAATCCATAAGCCCACTCCTCCTCTACTTCGCCATCGCCATCATCATCATCATCATCATCATCAGTTTCATCGTTTGGCGTCGTTAGGAGAAAGTTTTCCAAGCCGCAGAAATGATTGCTGTCACTGATAAGGCGACTGACAATGGTCGAAAGGAGTTGGCTGCGGCGGTGGGGGAAAAGTTTTCACTACTTTCGGTTTTAATTTCGCAAATTGCATTTGCCAATGTTATTTATTCAATCCACTTGCCGCTTTCAAGCAACGTGGAACAGGTGCAAGTGGCTACGCGGCTTGGATTGTCACATTCCGGCGATGAAGCTCGTTTATTAACACGATTCTGGCTATGCGGCGTGTTGCCACATAAAATACTTGGCTGCCACTTCACCCCTCCAGGTTTTTCCCCATCAACCCTCTGTGTTCGCAGCCAGCTCTAATCGATTTTTGATGAGATTTTTGTATTCAATTTTGGTTTTGATAGGTAACGAGCAGCGCTTCGCGGGAAAGGTGGGGGTTTTAGGGGGTCTCAGGGGGTTTTAAGGGAACGTGGCTTTTAGTGTTATAAAAGGGGTGGAGTGACTGGGGAGGCATAGCAATTCCCGGCGACAACGGCATCGGGAAAGTAGCTTCCGAAGAAAGATGAAAATTGGAAGTTGGGACAGAAAGTGGAAGTAAAAAAGATGGGTTGGAGGACTAACAGTAAGGCGCGGCCATGACAACGATGCCATTGACATAATTCTGCACCGCTTTTGTTTGTATTGCAAATAGAAGGGGCCGTTAAAGAGATGGGGTTCGTAATGGCAGAATGGTTGGAGGAACTGGTGTGGCAACTAACCATACGCCTTGGGTGGTTAAGTAAAAGCAAACGGCTCTTTTTTTGTTTGGCTTTCATTCGCTTGAGCTCGAGTTGATTGACGCAGTTCCTCTCATAACTGGTCTAAGGTTTCCCTGCAGTTTACTTTCCACTGCATTGCCCTCCCCCAATCCGCCACGCCCCTAATTATTTTTAAGGGTTCTTTTCGAATTGGAAGGACAAATGTGTGGTTCTTAAGTTTTCCTTAAAGTTTTGATAGTTTCCATTTAATATCCACTTAATGGCATCGTTAGTTTTTTGGGTGGTAGAAAATAAAATTTTAAGGGAGCTTGGAATTTCCTGAGATTTACATTCTACATTTAAGTGTTCAGATATTATATATACTCATACTTTTTTTATAGTTTTTAAATAACATTGTGTTTACATTTCAATTTTGATTTAAGGTTTGTTTTCTTTAAAGTTCCTTTTTCATAGAGTGCGGGAAAATTCATTGGGAGTGATTTGTAAGGATTTAGTAATGGAAATGGGTCACGAGTACGTTTATCCTCAACCCATCGATTTCTGCTCTCTTTTCATCCATAGTTTTTCACGCTGTCTATCTCTCAATCCCATCTCGTTATCTTCTCCCCAATTTTTTATAGCGCAGTTTTCTCCTTTCTTCGACAGTGTCGCAGTCTTAGTTTCGCATTGGTGCAAATCACATTAGTCGGCGTGAGTCTTGGCAAAAAATCAGAGAACAGTGAAAGACTGATTGAGCCTGAACTTCGCAGATGGATGTGCACGTGGTGCTCCCTTTTGCACCCTTTCGCACCCTTTCCCGCCATCAACTCCCTCCGGGATCCGGCAATCCCCGCTCTCCTTTTCCTCATTGAAATTGGCAATTTCGTTTTCATTTAACGCTGACGAAATGCATTTCCTGAAATGAGCAGCGACCAGGACGAAGCCGGAGATGGAGTCGTGGTGGAAGGGTCAGGGGATGCAGCAAGGGGGATAGGGGATGGAGGATGGAGGATGTGCCTGGCCCAGAAGTCCACTGGAGCGAAGGAGGCGGACGAGGACGAGGACGAGGACGAGGTCTGCACTCCCCTGGCTTTGCGCAATGTCAGACGTTGCCGCAAGGACGAGAGCCGGAAGTGCAGCACGGCCACTGGGCAATGGCATGGGCCACTCCCCAGGGGCGGTGGCTGGAGGTCAAACGGGCACAATAAGTTTAATATATTGGCATGGACTTAAGCCCAGTCCAGTCCAGTCCAGTCCTGTCCAGGTGGTGCTCGACTGCAGGTGCTCTGCTTTTTTGCAGCAACATAAGACGACCAACATGTGTTCACTGTTCGGGACTCTCGGATAAAGAGAGTTGGGTGGTTGGGGCTCAGATGACTGTCAAGCCTTGTATGCGGACCTTGGCAACTGATTAAGGCATTCTGGCTAATTCCATTGCACCTGTGACACGACACTGCATGCACTTTAATTTGTCTGCTCCTTGTGCCTCTGACAGGAAGATGTCGAGCCGATGAAAGGTCAAGGAAATACGGGTTCAAATTAAGGTGCTGCGTAACGTAATGTAAATGAGATAATTAAGTCCTAACAAGCCGGTCTTCAAGGGCAAGACATTCATGAGTTGGGGTTTCGTACTTGTTTTCCCGAATAAAGTGTGATAATTTCTGATCAAACAGCAAATGAAGATTTAAAGACGATAGGAAAAGCTTTAACTGTAAAAATGTATCCTTAGAAATTGTAATTTATACCCAACTAGTTTTGGTTACTTCACATTCTCCGGTTAACTTAGGTGCGGTGTCGAATTGTAAAAATCCACAGTTCCCTTTAACAGATTCCTTTAAATTTAACTATATTCAAAACTGAGGGATACTTTCTTCGGCTAAGCGGGGTCGAACTTCCTTCAAATTCATCTATATTCCCAGCTCAACTTTTAAATTGCATTTAAAGTTCTCTGATCCCCCCATTAGACAACAAAAAAACGTGTGCCGCGTTTCGTTTCCATTTCAAACCCTCGTTGTTCTTTATTTCGAGTGGACTTAAGTTCCCACCTGACTTCTAGAATGCGAGCTTTAATTCCCCTTCAGAGGGAGCTGCACAAGTTTTGTTCGCTTTATCTGAAACATTGTCCGCTTATCTTCTGCAGAAGAGGGGGGAAAAACAGATTTGTGTGGCTCAGGTCGAACTACAACCTTAGTCCTTGGGTCTAACCCCCCTCTCCCTCCCCTCCATCCTCGCTGGCCATCTGACCTCAAAACTAAATCGAAACTTGCAGTTGCAGTTGCAGGACAATCTCGGCGTTATCCTTCCGCTGTTGTTCCTTCCTCTGGCCGAAGTTTGTGCGGCTCGAAAATTGGAGAGTCGGGAAATGTAACAATTCAAATAAAAAAAAAAAAAGTCAAATACTTTTCAGATCATAGAATCGAAAACCTTTCCTCCCAGTCATTTTATTTCGTTCGGTTTTGGTTATCGTTGTTGTCATTTGTTGTTTATCCTTGCGTATGCATTTGTGCGATGGGCAAACTTACCGAAAGTCCTCGAGTTACAACATGAAACAAGTCGATGCCGGAGACACCTGTAAACGAAAGAAGCGGAGAGGAGAAGAAATCCATTAGTTCAGTTCTTGACAAGGCTGCCAGTTCATTACACTCTACACTCTACACCCCCCACGAAACCACCCCCGAAAGTATTAATGATGCAACTGTCAAAGTTTTCGGGCAGAGACTGTACCTGCTAATGAGGCAACTCCAGATTCCTCAGGTTGCCCCAAGGCGCCCCTTATCTTTTCTGGGTAAATTGAAAAGAATTAATGACAGTTCGGGGGAGTCAGGTGGAGACTGTTGCCACCACGTCAAAGACATGCCAAACATATCACGTAAAACATTAAAATGTTGCCCAGCCAGCAAAGAGGAAAGTGGAGAAATGAGATGGGCAAACAATGTTTGCCTGTGCCAAATGGAAATGTTGTTAAGGAAAATGAACAAAAATAAGTAAGGAAAAAAATACTTGGAATGAATTAATGAAATGGAGTGCTTTGCGTGGGGTAGGTGGTGGCAAAGAAAACAATTAAAAGAATTTATTGCTTCAGTTTAATGAATTTTCAGCTTGTTTGCACGCACACACATGCCAACTTGGGTTGGGAGTCTGCCAGCTCAGCAGTTTCATTCAACCATTTGATGCATGTGGGGGTGGGGGGTGGAGACCAGAGGTTGAAGGTTACAGGTTTGAAGGCCTAAAAAGGCGCCACAGGTGTAAAATGCTTATAAATCTGCGGCCCTTTGTGTGCGTGTGTGTGTGTGTGTGAATGAGAATGAATGTTATTGTTGAGCATTGTTTAATGAAGTTTTTTTTTCTCGTCCCGAATTCAGGATTTGAGCAGCTGCTTAGACAGGAATTGATGGGCAGCCAGGATCTGTTGCAAGGAACGAACGGTGAGCCAGCTGAGACGCGGTGTTACCCGAAATCATTTTAAATGGTTCTGAAAAAATGCTTTTGTTTCGCATTTATCCGTTAAGGCAATTAACAAAGTGAGAAGATATGGGCAAAATCTCACCTGCGCCAACCAGCTTTTTAAGGTACTTGTAATGAAAAACAAAGTTAAGTAATATGTCTCTTTACTACGTTTAAAAACAAATAAAAAGTGATCTTAATAGCATTATTATTTTGATCTACGACGAGCAAGTCATCTAGTATATAAAGTAATCACAATAATAAAGTTTTTCTTAAGGTTGGAATGGAATATTAATAAATTCATTGCTCAACGAGGACGGAAGCTAACTTCGGCAAGCCGAAGTTTTAATTCCCTTGCAGACTTTGCCAAATTGCTAAAAGTGAAAAAGTAACGAAAGGAATAAGGTATACATAAGTAAACTAGATTTGCATCGTTGCAAGTCAATTGCTTTTATACTGCAAAAATGTCATATTTTTCGGGGGGGGGGCCTTTTTCCCTAATCAAGATATGCGTAAATAAATAAGAATTGAAAAATTTTATGTTAGTAGCTTACACGCGCAAAATATTCTGATAATCATCAAATTTTGACCGATTTCACCCTATTGTTCCTATGGGATGCTATAAGAAATAGACGTCCGATCGGCACGCGCTTTCACCTTGATCAATGTATGCATAAAAAAATAGGATTTGGAAAGATTCATGTCAATAGCTTGTATACTGCGTGAAATATCCTAAAAATCATTAAATTTTAACCGATTTTACCCTTTTGTTCCTATGGGAGCTATAGGATATAGACGTCCGATCGTCACGCGCTTTTACTCTGATCAAGGTACGCATAAAAAAATAAGATTTGGAAAGATTTATGTCAATAGCTTTTACACTGCGCGAAATATCTTCCATTCTTGCAAGTTATATCCGATTGTTCCTATGGGAGCTATAGGATATAGACATCCGATCGGGGCGGTTTTCAAACTTGATCTGCGTACACTTGTTTAAGGACGACTGTGAAAGTTTCAGATCGCTAGCTTTTAAACTGAGCTCGCAAACGGTATTGAAACAGACAGACAGACGGACAGACGGACATGGCTATATCGACTCCCCTATTGATCCTGATCAAGAATATATATACTTTATAGGGTCGGAAACGTCTCCTTCACTGCGTTACAAACTTCTGACCAAAATTATAATACCCTCTGCAAGGGTATAAAAATGAATTTTAAATTGCCATTGCGACAAGGTGCATTTTTAGATGAAAGCTTATAACTCAAAGGTAAACGTGGGACAGATCAGTTTTCAAAACAGGAGTGATAAATATGGATTTTTCAGTCAGAGTAGTAATTGTAAAAGCCAGACACTCAAGTTATATTATGGGCTAAGAAGTGTTGATGGAAAAGCTGGTTAGTTGGGAAATCGGACACCTTCTATGCAACGCTTTCCCGGCTTCTTTCCCTCGTTGGTTGGCAGGAAAAGAGTGAGTGGGTGAGAGGAAAATATAGGTGGGAAAGTGGATAGTTACGCGCGGACAGGAGGGCGTTTTAGGTGGGGTCTTGGCTTCTCTTGGCTTCAATTATGAAACAATAAACAATTTGCTTGGCCCTTCCTTGTCATCTCGTTCCGTGTCCTTTTTTGCCTGGCGGCTGCTGCTGTTCTGCAAATTGGCTGCGACACTCGACTCCCCTCCCCTCCTTTCTCCCACACACACACACACACATTTTTGGCTACTGCCTGGCTTGTTGTCATCGCCATTTCGCCGGAAGCAGGTATTTGATAAATTTTTTGTGTCATCTTGTATTTCATTTTTTATGTTCCCATCTTTTTGGTCTGCTCGTGCCGGCATTTCCATGATAACATCCAGCTCTGGTACAAATTTTAATTCAGTTTGGTTTGCTTTTCGGCTTTGCTTTTCAGCAGGACTCAATTCTGCTCACATTTACTGGCTTTTTCTTTTTTTTTTTTGTGTGGCCAGAAGGTTGTTAATTTATTGGAATCCCCTTGCACCAGTCCACTTCGAGCTTGGCAACTGTTCGCAGGGCAACGGATGAGGCAACTTGGCCTTGCCAGCAGTGTGTTGTATTGGTTATTGATTTGGTCCTGCCACCTGGTGGGCTTAAAAAATGAACCCACCTAGTCTTTGATTTTACCGAGCTTAAGTTTCAGGAAAGAGCCCACTTTGCTTAGAGCAGAGGTATTCGAAATCGGTAACAACAATGAAAATAGAAACTTCGAAAACAATAAGCCGTCTTTTAATGGTCATCAACTTCACAAATTAAAATGGAGAGCAGATTATCAAATTTGTGTTTCAATTTAAAACAGATATTTGATTGCCATCCCAATAAATAGCTTTTATTCTATTTCTTTATTTTGGGATAAAGAAAAGGAAAATGATGAGGGAAACACTATTAATCCTTTTAGAATTTGACGACGCTGTGAAGAGTAAAACTTCGACCCTAGAAATTATATATTTATTCTTGATTTGCAACACCAATTGATTAAAACTTGCACAAGTCTATTTAATATTTAAAGTTAGTACAAATTGCATAAGCATATGACCAGGGTACTTCAAGTTTCTTTTTTTTTTCGATGCTGGACATACTTTTCAATTTTCTATACATGTTATCCTTAATTCAGTGAGAATGGGCATTTTTTCTTTGTTGGAAATTTACGCAGTAAAATCCAGGCCAAAGGCAAAAGTCAATTTGCCAAGGTTGTCTGGCTTTGGTGGAAAAGAAAGGAGAACTGCCTGGGAGCTCGTAAATCTTTGCACTTTTCACTTGGCACTGACCACTGGCTTCCTCCCACTTTTGTGGCCTTTAATATTCATTTGTCGGAGTTGAAAAATTGCACGTTTCTCGATTCTCGATTTGGATCCAGATTCGATTTTTTTTCTTCTTTAGAGCAGTTAACTTTTTGGTGTGAGCTTAAAATTGCAATCTGCGGACAGGGTCGAGTAATCGCGGAGTGGGCGGTGCTCTTATTCGCCTACTTTTTGCACTTTGTAGTGGACCGATATCGCCGTTGGCACAGGCTTCGATGAGGTCAGGATATAAAGCCTTAATTTATGCAACGATTTCCCTGCGCAACGTGTTTATCGAGCGTCTTGCACAACAACATTGCGCTCAATGGAAGGTGTAGCAAAAAGGATGGGAATAAAATTATAAGACAGATAATGGGCTATTCATATTGGAAGACCCCTTTAGCTGAACACCAAGCATCCGAAACGGATTTAATAAGCCCGAAATTGCAAGACGAGCTTCAGTTTCTGTCAGCAGAGCAATAATAGTTCACTTAAATTGCGACAAAATTAAGGTGCGTAGAGAAGTGTTTTCAAATTACCAATAAAGGTGTTTCAAAGAATGCAGTTAAAAACGTATTTCGTAATCACGGCCATTAAGTCACAACCCGTATTTTAATTTTTTTTTATTCTTTACTCTATTAAAAAATATAACAGGGATAACTTTCTTTTATCAGGTAGACCAAACTGCCAATAACTTATTTTTTAAAAACTATGTCAATGAAACTAATATGAAGAATTCAACGCTGCTTAAAAAGTCACAAAATGAAAAATGCATCTACAATTAAGGACATTTGGGAAACAGTTCTGGATTTTGTCGCAAAGAGACAACATTTTGGTGTGAGAGGGGAAAGGCAACCAGATGCATATGGTATGAGGTATCTGGGATATGGTTGAATGCCTGGATGGCTTGGTGGGTTGGCTGCTCCACGAGTGCTGAATTCTGGGAGTTGGGAGCTAAGAGCCAAGAGCCAAGAGCTAAGAGCTGGGAGATTGCATTTTACTCGAGCAAACTGGGGCGCAGGATAACACACGAGAGTCTGCCGTTGTTGCGGCTTGTGTGGATGTTGCTGCTGCAGTTGCAGTGTTGCAATGTTGCAAGTGAGAATGCATCATTAGTGCAGGAAAGCCACGTGTTGCTGGCGGAAAGAGCGAGCGGGGCACTCGAGCTGCAATAACCCACTGGGAAATGGGTAAACCACTCTCGAAGGAGGGGAAACCATGTGGCAAATGAGGCTAGAACACAAGTGAATCCAGGCAAAACCAGAGAAGACGTCCTCGTCTCGCCGTCTCCGTCGCCAAGTGGCAGTGATGGATAGATCCCGGCAATGGATGGAACAGGACAGCAGTCAACGTTCATTTCCTCGCCGGGAAACTAATATTCAAGCAAGCAGCAGAGTGCAGAGTACCGAGAAAGATATACATGTTGGAATCCGTGCGGTTGACTGAATTTTCTCGAACAGGAAGATTGAGTTATCAATGGGACATTAAAGCCAGGACATCAGTGGTATTTAATATACTAAAAACTTCTATACCTATAGATATTCATTTAATGTATCTCAGGTTTTCGCATTTGAGTCATCTTTAACATAAAATAAAGAGGTTTGGGTAAATGATATGAAATATGGTTAAGCCGTTCCAATACTATCTTTAATTACCTTATTATACCATTAAAAAATATTTTAAGAAAAATATAAAATACATGTTTCCTAATATAACAATCAAGTCTATGCTATAAATTTTCGTCATATTTTCCTACAATTACTAAATGACTCTCGCCTCGAATGGTAATTCAAATTTTTGTTTATTATTTACCCAAAACATTATTTTAACTTTATCAAGTCGTTTTTAAAACTTTACATTTTCTATTCCATGTTAGTTGTTGATTACTAATAAACCTTGTAAAGTAAATGAATAGTTTTACTAAGTCATTTAATTAATTTCCAAAAATACATTGCTTATAAAAACATTGTTATTAGCAAGTGGTTAAATAAACAGAGAAAATTGCGTGATTTTATAAGCCATCCAGTGTCATGTATTTTTAGAATGTTTACCGACAATTTGTCACCTGTGTGATTGTACAGGCAAATTAAGGAGGCGCCTCAGGTCCCGATGACTTAATACGCTCAGCACAAGCAAAACAAGTCAAATTTCCGGCTGATAGAAACAAAAACTCTCTCCAAATCTCAAAGTAATTTCGTTTTGGTTGTAGTTCCCATTTAGTGATACCCGTATTTAGCTGTCGCCGAGGACCCCTCACGATGCCCAAACGCACTCCGTACACCTGGTTGCAGCCGGACTTTCCCGGCGATGGCAGCGACATGTCCTGGCAGGATCCGACCCTGCTGGTCATCTGCCAGAACGCCGACGTGGACACGGCGATGCAGCCCCTCCTGCGCTCCCTGCAGCAACCCTTTGCCCCCGGACTGGTGGCCAGTGTCTTCGTGCACGAGACGATGCGCAACGCCTTCTGCGAACGGGTGCGCTCCTCCATGGAGCTGATGCACCGCCAGGCGGCCAGCCACGCCCACTACCGGAGGGCCGTCGAGATGGTGGACTGCCTCCATGCGGAAGTGGTCAGCATGCTGACGCCGGACGACATCCGCTTTCAGTTCAAGATGTCCGTCGGCTCGCCGGTGATCGTGTGCGAATTCGATCAGAGTTTCTTTGGCGGATCACGGCCCAGTTCGGTGGTCACGCTGCACACCTTCCGCCACGCCTCCGAGCTGCCCCGCCTCCTGGCCAACGAGCGGGTGCCGTTCGTGAGTGCCGCCGTCTGGGGCAAGAAGATGGCCACCGTTTACGAGGCGGCCCTGCATCTGGACCTCACCGTCGTCTACATCAACTGCCAGGCTGTTCCGCTAACTCCCGTCCAGGAGTTCCTCGAGGCGAAGCAGCCGCACGTGGTGCTGGCCAGGTACCATCACTTCGAGGTGATCCTACACGGCGCCCAGCACCGGGTGATCGTCTATCCGGCCAGGGTGATCTGGGAGCCACCGGTCCGGGCGTCGGCCGGAGCCGAAGACGAGCCCCCCTCGGAGGGCAGGAAGATCGCCACCCATCGGAAGTCGAAGGACAAAGCTCGAGGCCTCGCCAAATCTAGTCTCAGATCTTTCTCAAAAGTTTAAGTAAAGTCCAGTTAAATTACCAGTGTAGGGGTATGATATAAATATCCCCAAAAATATAATTTAAAACCGTGGAATATATAATTTAATTGTTTATAGCTTTTATTTAGTTTTAAGTCCTGGCCACAATCACTGCTGGCTATCAACTGATCTCGCTCTCCGCTCACAACTCGCTCCAACCCCCAATTCTCTGATAAATGAGAGCGATGAGAGCAAAAGAGAGATAGAGAGCCCAGCGAGAGCAAGCTCTACAACAACAACAACGAAGGAATACAGTAAATTTTACATAGTAATAGGTAGCAATCCCGCTACACAAGTACTTTAAGAGTGTCTATCAGGGATTATTGCTTGCAAAAGGAGGCCACGAATCTTTATTAGATCTTTATTAATTAAATGATTATCCCTTTATTAATATTTCGATCACTTCTGGGAAACCTTTTCCGGGTTCCCGACACACAACACAATCGCTTGAACTCTTGCAATAGTTTTTTCTTGGCAAGCGGTTATCCTTGTATCGGCTCGTTGATCATTTGTTTCTGCTATCTGTGGCCTAGGCTCTCATATGTATCTGTTTCGTCCTCTTATCCCTTTTATAAGTCCGCAGTCTGGGCCTTCAGAGGCATCCCAAAGCCATAAACAACACCCGACGCGTATGTAAGTGGGCGAGAACACAAAAATAGTTCAAGTGCCTACTTTCAGCAAGCCATAGCACTTAGTCGTGTTTCGCCGCTAACCCTTCGACCACCCTCCACCCACCACCCACTATCCACCTCCCATGGCCCACCACCACCCCCACTTGGATGCCCCGCTCCACATTCAGTCATGCCACATTGCATCTATCCGCGATTTTCGCAATGAGTTTCACTTAACTTTTGCGTCACTTAAATGTAATTTGTGGAACTTTTTGGCGCAGCCTGTATGTGTGTGTGTGTGTGTATGTGTGTGTATGTGTGTGGGGCCGTGGCACATTCAAGATGGGGGGAGGGGGGAGGTGTATGTGTGTAGCTGTTGTTGGCCATTCGATTGCATTCGCTGGCGGCATCGCATCGTTCGCCACTTTTGAGTGCATTTCAGTGTAATCAAGCGCCCACTTCAGGAGTCCTTCTCAGTCGAACCCCCCTACACAAACCATCCCCCACCCCCCCCACCACTTACACGAAACCCCATTTTGCAACCCGCACTCTGTTGCAGTTTCATGCTTTCTAGCATTTCATCATTTGTTGCCAGCTTTTGCCTGCCAACAACAAAATGTTCTCTAGTTTTTTATTCACCATTTCGATTTTGTGAGCCTACGGAAAAAGAAAAGTGGGGGAGAAAGTGAGGCGGTGGGCGGTGGGCGGAGTGCATGGGTCTGGTTGCCCAGCCCTTATGCATTGTTTTCATATTTACCACCCCTTTTTTGGCGCCTGGCCGTGTGTTTGAGTGGCCTTTTAATGCAGCCGCTTAGCGCGCGTGTTGCAATTCAAGTTGAGTTGTTGCCGCTGTTCTGTTTGCCCTGCCGTTGGCAACGATATTCATTATTTATTTCGCTGACCCAGTTGCCGCCTGGTCCATGCCCTGACCCAATTTCCCAATCCCAGTCCCAATCCCACTCTCAGCCATTCAGTTTGCTCTCCGAAATGGCTCGAAAAACGAAGAACAGTTTCGTTCATTCGATCGAACAGAGGTTCCTGTCTTATCGGATCTTCACTTTAATTGGTTAAGGGGAATAATATAGATCAACGTCTTTTTAATTTGGTTCTATCACAAGGCCTCTAAGCAAACGAAGCAGGCAAACAGGTCAGTAAAGTCAGTATAAGTCTATTCTTAATTTACGTCCACTAAATTATGCATTACAGGATACTTTCGACACTGCAGTCAAAAAAAGAATCTTGATATGAATTCTAAGAAAATCCCGAATACCATAGAATTTTATAAAATGAATAAGGTTATTTTATGTTATAATAAAGAATATTCATAAGGAAAGATATAAATTTCAAAATAAGAAACTTCCTACATAAATTCAACATTACTTTATTGATCTACACAATTTCTAAAGTGACTATTTCCACATAAGCCAAATAATTCAAAGATGAATGATATTTTTAAAGGACTCTGCTGTAATTGGCCGAGCAGTAAGGACTTTAACATCTTGATTTAAGTCTCAACTGACTGCGATAGAAATAACCATTGCTGTGACACCCATTCAAAAAAAAAACTACAATGCTCTTGAACAAAAGAGAACATGAAATGATTAAGGTGAATATTGGAAAAGAAGTAATGGACAGAAGGAGTTCAAATCCGATAGAGAGCTACTAGAAAGAATCTGGCGGTAGGTCAGGAGTAAGTGGATCAAGCGGGGGCAAAACTGGATTGGATGGACAGCATCAAATTGAGTGGAAGATATTGTATTAGACGGGAAAAGACGACAGGACATGTTGTGAGAAATGGCCAAGAGAAGGGGACTACAAAGACGAAAGGAAAGCCAAAGTCAGAGATGAGCGGAATGAATGGAACAACAAATCCAACTGAATTCATCCATCCCGTCCTTTGTCATTCGCAGCCCGAGGCAACGAGGTCCTTCCTGCGACAATTACAAAATTTAGATTATGTTTTTTTTTTGCTTTTTTTTCACTCTGTTCTTCCCACAAACAATGCAGGCTGAATGGTGGTGGGGGTGTTGGTGGGGTCTGTGGGTCGTGGTGCTGATTGACAGGAAACAACGCCAACAAGTTGTTGACGGCACTGCCACAAAAGGGGGCGGCGTGGGCGGAAGGGGGCGTGGTGGAGGGAGCAGCTGTTGCCCGAGTTGGTGCTGAATTAACTTGCATTGTACGGGGGCAGACAAAGCCTGGACGATGGCAAAAGTTGGAGGCGCGACAGAGGAATGTATATAGTGAATGGGTGGTGGGAAAAGCTGAGGGAGGGGCTGGGGGGCAGCTACTCGGCAACTTATGCAGCGAAATGTTTGCCGTCGTTCGCTGCCATTGTGCGACGGCGTTTAAAAGTCTTGCCCTGCCACGCCCCGTCCCGTTCCGCCCATCTTAGTAACTTTTCGACCAACCGCCTGCCACCCCCTCCTTCCGGCTCACCTTAGCACCACCCACCACCCACATATTCCGTTGCATCTCGGAAGTTCGCACACTTCTGCTTACAAGGCATACACAATTTGCTTCTTCATCACCTACACAGGAAAATAATTTGAATTTATTAATAAATTAATAATTCGTTTGTTATACACCTTATTTAATTTATATTTAAAATTTATTTTGTATTCAGCTTAGTGTCAAAAAGCAATGAATTTGATTTATGTCCATTCAAAGAATTTTGATAGGTTGTAAAGATTAATATTGAATGACTTTTGACTTGATTCTTGGCTAGGACCTAAAAAAAAAAAACAGAAATTTCAATTGAAATGTCAATTTAAAATGTCCAAATGTGTCTTGATTTACTTATGTAAATATATATTTGATATAAGTAGCTTGAAATCGTTTTCTTTGCTTAAAATGTTGTCTTGTTATGTTTAACATGTTCAAAATGTCATTTTAATATGTTTCAAATGACAAGTTAATATGTCTAAGATGTAATTGTAAAAATTTATATTTGACATTCTATCATTTCTATTTGATGTAAAATAAGTTTCAGGTTTAATTTAGGCAGCATGAATGTAGCCATGTATTGAATTCATAGGTTTATTGTAATACATTAATGATTAGAATTTAAAACCAGACTTGAAAACTTCAATATTATGGCGCTGTGTTTTGGTATTAAAATTGATTTCAACTTGTACTAGTTTTTTATGCCATGCCCAATGCTTTTAACAATATTAAGGGCTAACAGTATAAGCAGATAGAGAATTCCATCGAGTTTAACATTCGCAAGTATTAAGTGTCAAGTGGCAATTGGAGTGGGTTTTTTTGACGGTGTGGGGACATTGATGTTCGGATGCAGTGCAGCCTGGCAGCCTCCTGGAGATAGCTGGCCAAGTGCTGGCCAATCCGCCGTCCTCGAGGAGGAGTACCCACCCGCCTCCTTCCAAGGACTCTTCTTTCAATAGCTTTTCACTTGGATGGACTGGCGAATGCGAGGGGGAGGTGGTCGGTGGTGGCTGAACGGAGGCTGGCAGGTTGGAAACTTCTGCTCCTCCGGCGGCCCCAGTGAATTCCCCATGCCGCTGGCCAGGTGCTGTTGCCACTGTTGTACGGAAACACTACAAGGATAATGGCAGCAGCAACAACAACTGGTTCCGAACAACAATGAGTGGCTGCCTCGACGTCGCTGCCATGTTGCAAAAGTAATTCAATTTGACTTTTTGTTTTGAAGCTGTCGAGTGGCACAAGGGATGAAAGGGGCGGCGTGGCAGCGGGGGCGTGGCAGGGGATGCTGCAGTACTCAAGGATTGGCAAGAACAACGCCAGCTGGCCAAAGAAACTTTTCGGGGGCGGTGGGGTGTGGTTGTGTTGGCCATGACGGTGTATAAGCTGCACTCTCGACGGCCTGCCAGAGTGGTCGAGAGCGTCAATTGATTTAGTCATTGAGTTATTGCCGAGTTGACGGCCCTCGCCTCGGGGCACTCATTCCCTTTCCACTTCCGCCCACGTCCACGCCCCTTTAAGAACGGCTGACATACCTGAGCCGACCCTGAATGAAATCCTGCGATATTCTAAACAAATAATGTCAAGCGAAAAGTAAGTAAAGGCCGCAGTTGATTTTTAAGGCATAAGATCAATATCCATTTTGAAAAAACAATTTGTGGAAAATCAACCCATAAATATGTTGCAATGTCTCTAAATTAAACCGATTATATCAATATTTTGAAGTTAAAAGCGATATTTGGCATTTCGAATCCACATAGTAACAACAGGTTTTTTTATAGAATATTAAACGAGATAGTTTTATTTTTAAAGTACATCCCCAGCGAAAGGTAAAAAACTTGCTTAACAACCAGTTATCAATCCGAGAACAAATTTAACTTTAAGCCAAGATCTTAGCCGAACAATACATTTCATCTGGCCTGTCAAGTCCCCACCGAATGTCTCCATCGCAAAACAATGGAGCTCAATGGAATATATTTAACTAAGCACTCGGCCCTTGCAAAACAG